CTGAAACACCAATCAGAAAGAATATATGCACCTCTATGTTCATAGCAGCATTTTATAATAGCCAAGATCTGGAAACAGCCCAAGTGCCCATCAGCAGATGAGTGAATAAAAATGCGGTGGTACATTTACACAATGAAATACTATGTGGCCGTAAAAAAAGAAGGAAATCTTACCTTTTGCTACAACGTGGAGGGACCTGGAGAGTATTATGCTAAGTGAAATAAGCCAACCAGAGAAAGACAAATACCATATGATGTCACTAATATGTGGAATCTAATGAACAAAACAAATTGACAAAATAGAACCAGAAGCATGGATACATGGAACAGACCGATGGGTGATAGAGGGGAGGGGAGGGTGACTGGATAAAGAAGATGAAGGCATTAGCTAAAGAATATATATGCATACCCCATGGACACTGGCAATAGTGTGAAGGCCAAAGGAAGTAGAGGTGGGGGTGGGTACTGGGGGACATCGGCAATATTAAAAATTTTAAATTAATTTTATAAAGTTGTTTTTGGTATTTTATATTTTATTGGAAAAGTTATGATTTTACGTAGAGAATGCAAACCTTTCTTCTGTTCAGAGAAGATTTCTTCTGGCACATACTTCCCCCCTCTCTCCTTGTGGAATTGCTATTTTACATATTTTCTATCTCTATACTCTAAAGTCACAGTTCATCTTTTCTGTCACGGTTCTAATCCTTTATCCTTTCTCCTCTAAATTCTAGCTGAATTCTCAAACTTTTAATCTACATATTTAGCTTTTTTCAATTCCCAATCTGCTGTTTACTGTCTCTAGTAATCTTAAAATTTAGCAATCCAAAAATGTTTCCTAAACTTAGCTTGTATTCTTTTTTTATTATTTTATTTTTTAAAAATTCTCACTGGAGGGTATTTTTCTTTCATTGATTTTTAGAAAAAGTAGAAGGGAGGGAGAGAGGGGGCAAAAGGGGGAAGAGAGACAGAGAGAGAGAAACATCTATGTGAGAAAGACACATCAATTGGTTGCCAGGGTGGGGGATCAAATTGCAATCTGAGTACGTGCCCTTGAAGGGCAAATCAAACCCACAACCCTTTGGTCTGAGAGCCATCACTTTAACCACTGAGCAACACTGGCCAGGATTTAGCTTATATATATTTTTTTCTTTATGGATTTTAGAGAGAGAGGAAGGGAGAGGGAGAGAGAGATAGAAACATGATGAGAGAGAACATCGATTGGCCACCTCCTGCATGCCCCCCCACTGGGGATTTGGCCCACAACCTGGGCATGTGCCCTGACTGGGAATCGAACCCACAACCCTTTGGTCCGAGAGCCATCACTTTAACCACTGAGCAAACCTGGCCAAGGCTTAGCTTGTATTTTTTTTCTAAAATAATTCAGGCCACTGCATTTATAAATGCAGTGTCTTCATTGAAAACACATATGAAAAATACTTTCTAAAAAGTTCTTCCTTTATGGAAATTCAGTTTTATAGGATACTAATTTTCACTGATTGTGTACCTTTTTTTCAAATTCTGAATCTTTTTGTGTTTTCCTAGTTTTTGTTTTTCTGTGTTTGGTTCTGCTGATCATTGTGAATATGCAGTAATTAGTCATAAATAAATGAGAGAGGCATTCCAAGCACAGGGATCGGAGTGAGGGAGGGCATGGAGGTTTGAAAGCGCAACACAAATTTCTTTCCTGTATGTTTTATGTACTGAGATATAATTTACCAACAGTGGAATATGCAACTATGAAGCGAACATCTCAATAACTTTTTCATATGTACACACCGTGTAACCACCACTCAGATCAAGACAGAAAACATACCTGTCACCCCAGAAAGTTCACTCATGTCCCCTTTTCCAGTTACATCACTCCCTCCCAAGAAAACCCCCGTTGTGACATTTATCACTATAGATTAATTTGCTGGTTCTGGAACTTCAAATAAATAAAATCATGCAGTATATATTTTAGGGAGATCTTGCTTTGTTTGCTCAACATAATGTTTGTGAAATCCATCCACATTGATACATGTATTTATTCCTTTTTATTGCTGAGTAGCATTCTGTTATAGAAATACAGGGTGTGGCAAAAGTAGGTTTACAGCTGCTCATATGGAAAAATAATAAAATAATAAATAATAATAAGAGAATAAACTCTATTTTATGTATGCACAACTGGAAACCTACTTTCCCCCCTCCCTGTGTACCACAGTTGTTCTTTATCTGTTCTACTATTACTACTAGCACTGAGAAATACTAGATGGTTTTGAGTCCCTTACCATCTCTTACTATAGACCTTTCTGCATGGGGGCCCACGCTCTAACCACTGGGAACACCAGCAAGGGCAGTAAGTCTCTTGTCAAGCATCTGTTCAAGTCTTTTGCCCATTTTAGATTTAGACTGTCTTTTTTATTTTTTAGTTGTAGGAGTTATTTACATATTCTGGATATGTTACTTGTATGGCGAGGTTTCCAGTAGTAAAACTGGGTTGATAGTCAAGGTGTTACCGAGACAGGGAAGGCAAGAGAAGATGTTTAGGGGAAGGTGAGAAATTCATGTCAGGACATGGAGTGGTTAAGTTGCTTCTGGGCTATCCAGATATAGATGTGCCGTCAGTACTTGAAATTCTAGATCTGGAGCTCAAGAGAGAAGCCTGGGCTGTAGATTTGGAAGGGATCGGTATGACGAGAATGGATCAGGTGTCCTGGTAGAAGAGAAGCGGCCTCAATTAAAACCTCATGCATTCCGATGTTTAAGAAATAATGAAGAACATAAAGCCAGAAAAAGAAAACAGAAATACTGGTCAGAGGCGAAAGAGGAGAAGTCAAGGGGGGTTATTTCTCAAGGAGGGTTAGCATCAAATGCTACAGTGAAGTAAGAAAATGAGGCCATTGGATTTGGCATTTGGGGTTTTTTGGTGATGTTTTCAGAGCACTGAAAAATAAATGTAAGATGAGGAAGTGGAGACGACTAGACTCCTCTTTGAAAACATAAGGCAGTGAAAGGAAGGAGAGAGATAAAAATAGACATATTTTTAAATGAAGCAACAACAGAGCTGTACAAAGTGGTACAAGATCGGGTGCCACATGAGTGACAGAGGCACCTTGAGTCTTACCAGCTGCTGTGGGGAGGTGGGAGTCAAAGGTGCCCAGTAGATGTAGTTCTAAGTTCCAGCCAGTAGGTGTCAGGTGCTGATCAGATCTCCAGGTTGTGGTCAGCCCTCCTGGGACAGAGAGACAGGGTGGAGCTAATTGAGGGGTGGATAACATGAGCTCAACATCTGGGTCACACCAGCTGTGGAGAAGAGAATGCCCACCTGCCAGGGGTCGCAGGATAGGATTAAGTGGGCTTCATGGGATGCTCAGCTTCCAGGTAGTGACCTCTAGGGGGTAACTCTGCTTCAGCTTTTCTCTATGTCCAGTTTTAGGAATACTAAGGACATGGGAGAAGTCAAGGATTCCATACCTCTCCAGCATTTTCTTTAGCTTTCAAAGTGATCTCATAGTCCATTATGTCATTCTGGTACTCACTGTGTCACTCTTGCTCCTCTATCCCTCATTCCAGAGCAGTTCTACCCCTTCTCCTGGACTACGGCCACCTCTGGGCTACCTCCTACTCCCCCCCCCACCTTCTCCTTTTCATGGTTGAAAAGTAAGTGTTGGGGTGACTAGAGTCCTTGGCCACCCCCCATCAAGTCATATGGCCTTAGGAGTGTCCTCACAGTGTTTCCTGGCTCTCTTCCTCATTTGTAAAATGGGGGGGGGGGGGTGTTCAGTGGTGAATGAGAAGTACTAGAGGCTTTGAGTCCCTTACTGCCTCTTACTATAGACTGGAACCATTCCTAGTTCGCCCAAGGGTACTTTCTGTTTCTATGCCTTTGGGGAAGTTGCTTTTTTTTTTTTTTTTTTGTATTTAGGGAGTCAGGGAAAGAAAAATCATTGGTGCTCACATCTCTCAAAGCCTCAGGTAGGTCTGTGGCTTTTGACCAACAATAACGTACAACCTTGTGGCAGATTTTGAAACGTCTCTAACAAATACTGTGACACAGCCGCGTTCAATAGTGGAAGTGAACATTTCAGCCTTGCCCCTTGTTAAATCCAAAATAACGTGCTATTCTCTCATTGCACTGCAGCCAACCTTTTAAGCCCCGTTTTGTAAATGAGGAAACTGAGGCACAGGGATGTGCAGTGACTTCCAGGATTCTGTGACCCAATTCTTGGTACAACAATAACATCTGCTAGGTCGTCTGTGGGGAGAAGGGGAGGCAAGAAGAGGGCCTTGACTCTGGTGACGACCCCTCGTCCCCTTCGGAGGCTGAGAAATGGGTGAAGTGACAGCCACGGGAGAAGGAAGGTGGGAAGTCGGACCAGAGGCAGGAGCCACAGGCTGAAAGTCTGGATCGCCTGGTCTTTCTGCGAAGGTTTCTGCACAAGGGTGAGGGTCAGGGCGTCTTTCTGCACAGAAGTGGCGCAGACACTTTAAATGTTAAGAACGCGGAAAGAAAATAGAAGTAGTAAAAGGAAGTGGGGCGCTGGGTCTCAGTGAGAGAAGGAAGCAGCTCTTCGAAGCTTCCCCTTTCTCCCCCTTCCCCGAAGCCCCCACCCCAGGCCTGGGTCCTGCTCCGCCCACCTCTCCTGCGGGGGGCCAGAGGCCGCTTCCGCTCCCCTGGCGGAACCGCACCTTATTCCTGCGGGGGCGCCTATGGTCGTGGTGGCCGGCATCCCTCCTGGTGGCCGCCCACCCCGCAGGGCCAGTTCCTTCCGAGGGCTGGCCGGCTCAGAGCTCGCGGCTGCTTCTCTGACTCTGCGGGGCTGCAGCGGACTCGAGGATGCACGAACTAGACCAGTACCTCGCATACACTGCCCCGCCACTAGGTGGCGTGAGAGGCCCGCTGGGCGGCTTGCCTCGCCCAGGCCCCGCCCCAGAGCAAGACCCGCCCACGGCGTGGCCCCGCCCCCAGCCCCTGTAGGACCGGAGCCTGGGCTGATGCTGGGACCTGCCGCGACTCCAGCTCAGGTGCGCTGGTCCCGACCGCACCCGGATCGCAGGGAGTCGTCACTGGAGAGGGGCTTGGCGCCCGGCGGGGACTGCAGGTGTGTGACCGGGCGGCCGGGGCGAGGGACTGCCAAGGGCACACTTGGGACTCCAGGCAGAGCCGGGAGTGGTGGGGGGGACCCTGGGAAGCGTGGGCTCTGAGAGCAGCGGCTGCAGCCTGTAGGCTGGACAGTTCCTACTGTTTTAGGGCTCCGTGGGCAGGACACCCGCATTCCCAATAATCCCGGAGACAGAAGGGGCGATCCGGGAATCGTTGTCTAGCTGGCCACTGCTGGACCGCCTGCCTCTTGCGGTCCGAGTGTGGCCAAAGCTTCCTGCCTCCTACCCTAGCCGCCGTGTGTCCTGGGGTCAAGGAGACTGCACCTCTCCGCCTGGAAACTCTCCCGATGAGCATTGGCCTCGGGGGTCCTTTGCCATCCCATCGGGACCTGGGGGTCCTGAAAGTGCCTGCCTCAACCCGCCCCTGCCAGCGAGCGAGGGTCCGCAGACAGTGGCTGCTCTTCTAGAGAACTGCACGCTTGTCAGTCAGAAGATTTGTGTTGACACCCTGGCTGTCCCTTGCGTGGCTGTGTGTGCCTGTGCGTGTTGCGCGCATGCGGGCTGGCCCATCCCAGTCCTGGGTAAATAAGTAAGAAGTTCAGGTCAGTAGGAGGAAGGAGATGTGCAGAGGGAAAAGGAAGGCGAGATGAAAGCAGCAGGATGTGGTATCTAGTGAGTTAACAAGCCTCCGCAGAGAGGAGGGGTGGGTTCAGGCACAATGAGGACTGAAAGTAGGCCAGGACTGCCTCCTAGGCCCCTCTGGATTGCCCTTCTACCGTCCCCATGGGCGCTGTATCCTTCCATCCAGGCTGTCCTTCCTCCCGGCCGTGGACCACCTGGAAAGACACAGGTTCCCAGAGCTTGTTAACACACACATTCTCCAGGCCCTAGGCCTACTGCACAGCTCTCCAAGGGTGGGGTCTGGAATCCCTCTTATTCTTAAATCTGAAAAAGCTCCGTAAGTGATGACGCTGGAGCCATGGCCTGGGGACTCCCTGTGATATGGAAAGGAGACAGTTCCAGCCAGGCCAGCTGTGTGATCTGGAGCATCTTACTGCCCCTCTCCCGGCCCTGTCCCTGTCTGTAAAATGGGCTCTAATAGAGACTTCTCAGGGCTGTGGGGATAGTAAATGAGAAAAGTATGATAAGAGCGGCTGCACAGGGGAGCTGCTCCCTGGGTGTTAGCAGAACAAAAGAGTGGACATCAAGGGTTTACTTCTTCCTTGGCGTGGTCAGCATGGTGTAGGACGGTCAAGCTCTCTCTTCCTGCTTACTGCTTTTAGCAGTATTTCATGTTCTTTCGTCTTCATGGCCACACTCGAAAGTAGCCACAATGGTTGCTCCCATTTTATGCATGAAGAAATTGATGGCCAAGGCCACATAGCTACGGAGTGGTAGGAGCTGGGCTGCCTCCGGCTGGCATTGACTCTTGACCAGAGATGATTAAGCTTGAGTGGCAGCTATGTGCCCTTCGGTGTGAAACGCATTCCTTGCAGGGTATGACTCTGGGAATATGAATGTGGCTCTCCACAGGTCTTTTCTGTCAGCTTCCAGGCTAGCAGCTAGGTTCTGGATAGTTGGGGTTATCAGTTAAGTGACTTGTGCATAAGTGAGATATAGCTATAGCAAGGTGCACCCAATAGGAGGGTGAGGGCAATGAATAGGAAGAAGGAGGTGACTCTGGTGTCACGAAGCAGACACTGCGTCTGTCTTGAGCCTAATGAGTTACCCATTTGGGTACTGGGCTTTGGGCTTTAGAGTTTGGCCTCCAGCCTCTGGCCTCCCCCTATTCTCAGTCCAGCCCCTCTTCTGTTGCCATGGTTTTGTAAGACAACAAATTAGAGCAAGTCACTTTTCAACTGCAAACCCTGCAGAGCTGCCACTGCCCTCTGGAGATGGCCCCTAACATGAGTAGGAAGGCCTTCTGCCACCCAACCTGCTTCGATTTCTGGAGCTCAGGTAAACCTCAGTGCCTTTGCACGTGCTAGTCCTTCTCCCCTGTTGCCCTCCACTTCCTCTACCTGCCTGGTGGACCATAAATTCATCCTTGGATGCCCAGCACAAACATCATCATTTTTGAAGTCTTCCCTGACCCCCTCCTCACTCCACAGTATTGAACACCCCCTCCTCCTGCCCTCACCATGCCTATTATGTCCTCCTACCAGAGCACTGACCACCCTGGCCTACAGGGTCTGACTAGTGACTTGGTGGCTTGTTCAGTGGAGCTACCTGATGCTCAGTGTGGCTGTTAAGTGGTCACCATAAAACTCTCTAGGGTCTCACAGGCAAGAAGTCCCTGCCCATGAACAGTGGAAGCTGCCTGAACACAGGGCAGTATGGGGGGCAGGAGGGTGGGGTCAGGAGGGAGTGGTGTGCTTTTCATTTTCGTGTCCTCCAGCATCTTCGTGCTGCTGTTGTTGATCTAGGCAAATGCGCCCGTGTGGTTTCCTTGTGGAGGGCAGGGCTTGTGCTTGAGAGCTGAAGGTGGCTCCCAGGCTTCTGCCTCCTGTGGAGTCCGGGATTCTCGTTTCTGCCCGGAGCCCTTCACTCCTAGCCATGTGACCTTGGGTAAGTTCATGTATCTCTCTGAGTGTCAATTTCCCCATCTGTGTGGCAGCGTGGCACCGGTTTTGCTTTCTGTGACCAGTTCCTAGCCTCCAGCATTTCACACATGGGTTCAGCATTTCGACCGGAGCACTGTCTGTGTGCCAGGCATGTGCTGGACTCCTCCTGAGAAGACATACGATGCTCCTGCTCTCACGGAAACTATAGTCATGTAATTGTAGTTATAGTCATTTCATTACAATCATGAGAACTGTGGAGCTCTGTGAGATGATGTAAAGGGAGCCCAGTATAGTTTGGGAATTAAGGAAAGGTTTCCCTTATTTGAGTTGAGACTTGAGATGTGAAATAAAGAAAATAGCAACGATAATAACAATACCTAACATTTAGCAGACACATGCTAACTGTTCTCTGGGTGCACCCTCTGAGGTATTCCTTTCAACAACTCTGTGGGGTTATGCAGACCTCCTGTCCTGTGACAATTAGATGAAATAACTGCAGGCCAGTCCCTCGCCCAGTGTCTGGCATAGACCAGAGCGCCTCCCCTGCATCGCCTCCTTCCCTGCCTCCCCCGTACTCCAAAGTCCAGCTTAACCACATGGAGGCCACACATGTGATTACAAGGTGTCTCCCTCTTCCTCTCACTGCTCAGCCCAGAGGCCACGTCTCGCTGCTGCTGCTGCAGCCAGCTCAGTGCAAAAATCCTCGCATTCTGGCTGTCCACAGACAAGGGTGCCCCTGCCCACAAGAAACCATCACATCGTTTGCTGGGCCTTCCTTATGTCCCTCCCGAGAGCTGCTCGTCCTCCTGGGTTAAGAAACTCTGCTGTTCTGTATAATCCATGATGTCACCTGTTTAGCCCCCACATCCTTCTTAATCCAAAGTTGTCGCCCCGGAACCATGAAGTCTCTGCAGACGTATCTCTGGGTCTGGAGTCTGAGCGTTTGTTCCTGAGTGGCTTGGTGGTTTTGACTCAGGCAAATCCTCACACAGCCACTTCCACACAGCCTGGTCAAGGCGACCTGCCTCCTCTTTGCATTTTCTGGGTTTGCTAGATCACATCGACCCCTACAGCTCTTAAAGGCGAGTTTCAAACTCTCATTGGATAATGGGCCTCTGAAAAATGAAGAAAAGTGACAGATCATTTTCTTCCCTTACCTGCAGAAAGCACGTGTATGTGTGTGTGCGTGTGCGTGCGTGCGTGCATGCACGATAGCTCTCCCTCTCTCAAAGTTTTGGATAAAACTTCTGGGTCTTCTCAAAACTTGAAGCCCACCAAGTAACCAGTTTAATATCCCCTGCTCTAGAAAACAGGACTTTCTTTACACCGATTTCTTTGAATAACCCCCCAGCTGTTGTCAGAAGCAAGCAGGGGGTGATGACGGGCAATGGAAACCTGCAGACTGCAGAGGAAGCCGCTGGACACACTGGCGAGACCTCCAGGCAGCGTGCAGCGGGCCGAGCGCCCTGACCACTCTGATCAAGGCTTGAATTCAACCCATTTCCAAGTTGACGAGGGAGCATCACTTTTGCTGGTGGTGTCCTTAAAAGAAGCCCTCTGCTCTCCCCCCCGCCAACCAGAGAACTATATTTAAGGCTAGGAATGGAGTCTGAGAAAATGTGTGTTTGTGGCTATTCACATCAACAGAGACGGTGGAGGAGGCAGAGAGGCAGCCAGGGCTGCATGTATTCGACCCCTTCCCCCGCAGGCTTCCAAGGTCTGGCCCAGGGCTTTGTTTCTCTGATGTGGTCACAGCTCTTTAGAGCTGGTGCCTCAAAGTCAGGTGCCATGTGTGAAGCATGTTTGTTTCCATTTCTCATTTCTAATGATTTTAAAAAGCAGGAATGGAAGGTACATTTGTCAAATACTTCTTCAAGTGGCTACTAGGAACTTCTTGTATTCTTTCACCTTGAGATAGATTTATGTGGCGCATTGTATCAACTTCCTTATATGGAATCCTCCTTGCAAGTCTGGAGTAAACTCCACTTGGTCAAGGTGTTTTATGCTGTTAATACAGTTAGGTTTGATTTGCTGTGATTCTCTGGAGGGTTTTTACACCTATACTCATAAGTAGGGTCGGCCTGGATTTTCCTCTCCTGTCCTGCTGTTGTCGGGGTTTGATGTGCTGGCTTTCCAGCAGGAGTTTGGAGGCATTTCATTTCTTCCTGGGTCCTGGGCCAGCTTATCCTGCAGGGCAGTGCTCCATCCCTCGAAAGCTGGGAGAACAGCTCTGGTCCTTTACTGCCAGATTCTTGGTTTCCTTCTCCCTGAGCCTTCCTCTCCTCTTCTCGCTTCCTTAGCTCTCCCGGGTACACACTTAGCACCTCAGTGCTCCCAAGCTGACACCTGAGAGACATCTTTGATTCTTGGTCCATTTCCACACTGAGCTGCTTAGAGCCATCTGGAGGGCCGTTCAACTCCAGGTGCTGCATTTA